GAGCGAAACTCTGTCTCCAAAAAAAAAAAAAAAAAAAGTTCTGGGATAAGTCATGACTCTGAATAATATAAAATACCCCAAGTTTTGGCCCCCCAATAATCCCTTTCCCCATGTAATTCCCTCATCACATCTCTTGATGCATCTTTAATCTCCACCAGATCTCAAGCTTCTGCTCTTACCTACAACAAATTTTTACTAAGAAAGATTCCTGCACCGTTGATAACTCCTTGGGTTCCACCACTTCCACCTTAAACTTCGGCAGCACTGAAGAGAGTAAAAGGAGAAATGGAAAAAGAATTGGAGGAGGACGCAGTCAGATAGGCAGTGAGCAGAGGGGTATAAACACAGTGAAAATTAAATTAATGGATCTAATGAAGGAGGCATTATTTAGGTAGAATTCTCCTGAAGTAATTAGCTGGTTTAGCATCAATTCAAAAATGAATAAATAATCCTTTCCCAGATAGGATTTTACTCTACCTTTGCTGATTTTAAAATGAGATTATGCCCAGTACTTTGGCTTGTCCATTCCCCCACCTACCATATTCCTCCACACTGAAAGTGCCAAAGGTCTTGCCCTCAGCCACTGCCACAGTGTAGGTGCCCAGCATTGCCTCTGGTGCCAGTTGGAAGGACAGGTCTACAATGCCTTGCTCAGGTGCCACTTCCAGCCACTGTGCAATCCTGTTGCTGTTTGGATCCTGTCCAACAGAGAAACTGCATGATGTGCCTACCTGTTCACTTCCCACTCTACACTGCAAAATGCAGGTAAAGAAGCAAAAGGCAGGTAAAGAACCCCACCCATTGCTCAAGACCCCTGTGATCTGTGTCCAGGAAGAGTAGCTCCCTATGTTATTTATAACTTTCTTTATGACTGAATGAGGTAAATATTTCTATAGATCCAGCCCCCATTTGGGAGGAAATTTTGTGGATTTTAATGATCACACTGAGTCCTCTAAAGTGTTATCTCCAGTTTTAGAAAGTAGGACCCGGGATGTCATTTACAAAGAATGTTTACTCTGTTTCTGGTCCCTATTAGGGGACAAGGCTGAGGAAATTGATTGTAAGATACCTAACAAATGGGTGATTGAATGGAAAAATGGAGGAGATATTGTGGAGAAATCGTCCTCTAGATCCTTTCCTTTAAAACACTTCTCACAGGTGTTTATGTTATCATGTACCTATTGAGAATGCCTATGGCAAGGGCTGTTACCTTAGACTAAGGGGAGAACAGAACCAAGCCTGGTTAAGTTGGCTGGGCACAGAGAAGTTAGGGGAATGAGAGAGCGGTGTAGTCATTACAGAGGCTGGTGTCCTTGTCTACTGAAATGTAGTTGTGAGAGACCAGGGGGGCAGAGGCGAGAGAACAGGCACAACTTGGGTGGATGTGAGTGCTCGGTGCTGGGCAGTCATGGGGCTCTGGGCCAAGATCTCAGAGTTGCTTCTGTCTTGAAGGTTTACCACCAAATTCTCATTCTTCCTCTTCCACAACTGACAGAGAAGAGAAAGAAACTTTCACTTACCTGTAGTTCCACCATGGAGTACTGAAAAGGAAAACCAGATAATGCGGGTTAAAGAAGGGTGACAGCAATAAGAGTAAGTTTGCTGAAAGCAAAAGTTCACAAAGAATTCTTCATTTCCCTCTTGCCCATTTCTTCATTTCTTCCTTTCTAAATGGCTCTTTTGTGCCCTGAAAAGAATAACAATGGGGGCACAGACTTCTCGGGAGGGAAACAAGGCAGGAGGAGGGGAAGAGCGGGGGCAGGAATCTCAAAGGAATTGCCAGTCTCCAAAAGATCTGAAGAACTGGAGCATCAGACCAGTCTCAGTGCCCTGTGACTGAGCTCTTGCACA